GTGTGTGTGTGTGTGTGTGTGTGTGTGTGTGTGTGTGTGTGTGTGTGCGTGTGTGTGTGTGGATGGGGTGACCATTTACTCAGGATCTGGGTGTCAGAGGGTTCTAGGCCACCGAATCCTAGACAGGGACCGCGAGTCTGCAAATGTTTGGTTCTGGTGCCGCACCGACTCATCCGATTCAACAAAGGAGCAGTCAAGCAGTAAATAAGTTTCATCAGGTGTGACAAGGCTGTAGCACAATCTTATTATTTATTTTCTTTACTTTATTGGATTAAAAATGTCTTCAAGGTTAAATCTATTCATCCGTAAAATGAAGGACATTACAGTGATTCCAATCCAATCAGTCAACACTAATAACAGAAAAGACACTAAATAAATACCAATAAAATACAATTAGACAACAATAATAGGCTAAATCCAATTCATAGTGTTTTTCAAAGTTCTCACAGGCGCTTTACAAACTATAGAATAAAAGAAAGGGAAAAAAAGAGCAGTAAAGTCTTTGATACAGACAGAAAAATAGATACGAATAAAATGAAAGAAATGATTGGAATAAAAACACAGCAGTAACTAGTAATTGGCTAAATTGAATGAGGATCAGATCTTAACAGGTCAAAGATTATTATGTCATAAATGTGTAATTGTTGAAAAGACAACAACCTCTTAAACCAAACTGCAGTGAGTCTCTAGCGAACTAAAACTTGCTGGTGAGATAGCCGCAGCTTTCCCTAAAGCTAAAGCCAATATTTCCCACTTGTTGTTCTCATGGAGGCAAATTGAAAATAGATTTTGATGCTTCAACATCTTAGTGATTAGGTTTGTTATACCCCAGAGATAAGGCTGTAGCTAAATCTAATCATAACGGAGAAAAACTGTTTAACCTAAACTAGCTATCTTCAAGCTAAAAGTTAAGTGTTTTAAAGTATAAATATATTTATTTTAGTTTGTAAATTCAAATCCAAGCAAGCTGGAATAACTGAGTTTGTAGATACTAGGTACTGTCATTTATTGTGCCAATAACCTAAACAGAACAAAAATTGAAGCTAGAGCTGCAACACTTATTGCATCTACAGATAAAAGTAGATCGTGTTGTTTTTCCAGATAGATATACTGTTCTTAGAAGTGTGATTCTCTGTAACATTACTTCACTGACTAAACAGACAAAAGGAGGGAAAACTACCAAATCAACTGTGGAAAAAGTGCAATTAAGTTGAATAATTCCTTATCAGTGTGAATGATTTCCAGTAAATAAAGAATAATCATGCAATTAGTTACGCTGCGTATTCTTCAGTGCATAAAAGAGTAAAACATTGTTTAGGGAATACTATACTAAATAAATCTACACATATAATGTAATTTATTTCTACATTTATGTGTCATAAACCTGCTTTGTTATTCTTTACTGCTTTTTGCTAACCCCGGTGTAACACCCATCCTGGTGCCCTCCTCTCCCTCCTATCTCGTGATTTATTTGCCTCAGTTCCAATATTTGTCGGCAGTGTGTTTTCTTCCCCTTGTCTAAATGTCATCCCTTCTTCTAAGACAATGTAGGGAATGGGAGAGAGGGAGAACGAGAGGGCAAACGTGGGGGAGATAGAGGAAGGGGAGGTGGCGGGGGGGGGGGGACTCGTAAAATGAGCAACAAAGTTTGGGAAAATTAAACATTAGGTAAGACACTTTTTCTCATGCATATACACATGTGTGGAGACAGACATGCTGAGTCATAGTTTCTGATGTGAGGATTTCCTTGCGAGACGTCCGATGGACCAATATTCCTGCTGTAGTGTTTCTATAGAGAAAACAAAAGGCTTCAGTTTGTCTTCTCATAAAACGTTTCTCAGCAGTAAATGCACTCCTGCACACACATTAACATGCATGAATACAAATGGGACAAAGAAGTAACACACTCATCTGGCTGTGACAATCATTCAAAGAGCATTATCTCCATCGCAGGCTCAGATTTTAGGTCTCATGCCAACAAACACAATAGAAAGCATACTTACACTGTTAATACTTAGGTAGTAAAACTATTATCCTTCCCCAAACCTCCTCCTCCCCTCCCTCCGCATCACTCCACACCCTGGATCACGCCTGTCCTCCCTCCCTCATTCTCTACCTCCTTTATAACCCATCACTCCCATCTCACTGCTCTCACTCATTCTTGCCGTTTCAACCTGGAATGGACACTTTTTTTTTTTTTTTTCAGATGATGAAACTGAGTACTTGCTGACACAATGTTTTTGTAGAAATTGAATTTTACTTGCACTTCTGGATTTTATTTTTTGTTTTTGGGGGGGAAGTAGATCTACAGATCAATTAAATTGGACACGTGGACTTGTTTTTTCTTAAGGATGAGTTTTGCTTGCAGTTTGTAAAACAATTCCAGTGAGCATGCTTTTGCTGTCACTGACAGCATAAGTGAAGAAACTGATGAACAACTTAATTGATTGAAATTAAGTTTCAGTTTGATCAATTCATTATATATATATATATATATATATATATATAAAAAAAAGAGGATAAAAAAGACGGATAACGAAGGATAACTGGATATCACAGGACTATGATCTGGTAAGAATCAATGTTACTTTTGGAACTGTGTGTACAGTCGTAGAGCTGCAGCGGCATCACACAAAGTTTAAAACTTAGATATTCATGAAATGATTGTTTATTTTGTCATTACAACAGATATGCGGGGATCATCCCCAGACTCTGGGACAGAAACGTAAACCAACAATACAACAGACAGACAGATCCCTTTGACTGTGGAGACGGGCAGCGTGCTGTCCAAAGACCCGGCCTGACGCACGCAGACGGACAGACAGACAGACAGTCTGATGCCAACTGTCTCCACTGTCAATCTCACGGCACCACTCCTCCTCCTGTTGCTATGGGCAACCCACCCCACCATGGCAACCAACTGGCTGTAAGTCTAGCGTGCGAGGGAGAAAGAGAAAGAGGGAGTTTGTTTGTCATGCTATAACTTTTAAAAGATGGTGACATGTCTCTAAATCTCTTTCAGTCGCCCCCCTCTCTTTCTTTGTCTCACTCCTGGTGACCTTTTCTCTTTTCTCTCTCTCTCTCTGTCTTCTCTGTCTCCTCTGCCTGGTCTTCCCCTTGTTTCCATCCTCCCTAAAAACTCTGCCCGGTCATTTCCTCTTCATCCTTTTTGTACTTTCTTTTCTCTTCTTCGTGCGCTCTTTCCTCTTTCACTCCCTCCCCCTTTTTTCTTCATTATGCATCCTCTCTTTTTGCCCCACTTGCCCCATAATTTCCCTTTTAAAAAAAACCTCCCGCTCTAAGTCACTTCACCACTGCCCACCTTTGTGTCCCAGCTCCCTGGCGAGGCTGCCTCGCTCCAGGCCCGTGTCCGGTGCTGCCCCATGTGCGCGGCTGAGGGGGCTGACCCCGGGGCAGGTGGGGGTGTGCAGGGCGCGAGGGGAGGTCATGGAGTCCGTACGCAAGGCAGCCGAGACGGTCATAGAAGAGGTTTGTCTCAGCATTGACCTGCAGGCATCGTCACCATTTGTCTCAAAAAACACCCACTAATGTCACAACGCAATCATTAGAGCCCCTTGTCTCACTGCTATGCATGTCATTGTCAGTGCCAGCACCAGTTCAGGAATCGACGCTGGAACTGTTCCACCACCCCACGTGGGATCAATGTATTTGGCAGAGTCATGAATCAAGGTATCATCCTATTGATAATGTGTCGTGGAGAATTTACCTGCTGATAAATCCATACATTGAACAACTCTCACTGGAGGAATTTCTGCGTCGTGTGCTCTATCTTGATTTCAGGGACTCGTGAAGCGGCCTTATTGCATGCTTTGTCCTCAGCAGCCGTGGCAGTGGCTGTGACCCGAGCCTGCACCCGCGGGGAGCTGGAGAGGTGTGGCTGCGACAGGAAGGTCAGGGGGGTGAGCCCCGAGGGTGAGCTTGGATTCCACTGCACCAAAATGTAACGCGTCAAGTCCGCACTGAGTCACGTATATCAAAAAACTGCTGCTACACTATTTTTGTGGGTTAAAACTTTCAAGTGTGGAGCAGTGATGCCTGCATCCCAGAACGTGACGGCAGCTATTTTTTCCATCAGCTGTCACTGTGCTGTGTGATCCAGTGTCGATTCACCATTTTTATCTTTTTCAGTTTTTTAATTACAACGTGCAGTTGTTTCAACGTCAGAAAAATCCACAATACTGTCTCTGTCTGTCCAATCGCAGGTTTCCAGTGGTCAGGGTGCAGTGACAACCTGTCCTATGGTGTGGCTTTCTCCCAAACATTTGTGGATGAACCAGAACGAGCCAAGGGGCTTTCAGCGGGGCGCCCACTCATGAACCTCCACAACAACGAGGCGGGCCGAAAGGTTGGTGGTCGCAACTCTTTGACGACATCTCGGTTAATTCACGTGTCTTTGTCTTCTGTGACATTCAATCTGCACTTTGATTGTATTCACTATTGTCTCGTCCTCAGGCCATCCTTCACAACATGCAGGTGGAGTGTAAGTGTCATGGCGTCTCCGGCTCCTGTGAGCTGAGGACCTGCTGGAAGGTTATGCCCCCATTCAGGCGCGTTGGTTTTGTGCTCAAAGAACGCTTCGATGGAGCCACGGAGGTATCAGAAAACACCTTGTGCTTCTTTCAGCTCAGCTGTTGAACAAATGTAGCAGTCGCAAAGTATCAGAGTTCCCAGTCTGTAGCGCTCTCTCAACATCCTCCTCCTCTTAGGTCCGCCTGACTCGTATAGGATCCAGGACAGCCCTGCTCCCCCGTGACCCGCAGGTCAAACCCCCTGCTGCCAGAGACCTCGTGTACCTTGCTCCGTCTCCCGATTTCTGCCATCTAGACCCTGACAACGGTATCCCTGGGACAGCTGGTAGGAGATGTAACGGTAAGAATATTTCACAGGGAAACGATCCAGATCATCCAATTCATCAATCACAGTAAAATGACGCTGCTCTCCTCTAAAACCTACCCAGGAACCTCTCGGCTGGCACCAGACGGCTGCGAGCTGGTGTGCTGCGGGCCGGGATACAGAGCAGGCCGGGCTGAGGTGGTGCAGCGCTGCTCCTGCAAGTTTTCCTGGTGCTGCTCAGTCCGCTGCCAGCAGTGCAAGAACACAGTCACCATTCACACCTGCAGAGTCTAAGAGGGCTCAAACAAGACCAAACCGGCTGAGCAGAGAGATCCAAACAAACCACGAGACAGACACTCGCGAACACAAGGCGGGATAAAGACAACGTAGACAGTGCAGCGTTCATTTAACTCGTTTTTGACTGAATCAATGCTGTTAAGTTTGAGGATTCCGTTGTAAAAGCTGCAAAGTTAGTTAGAGCACATGTAAAAAGCAAGCAACCATGACAAAGCATCAACAGTAAGCAAGGTACAAACAGAAATCACCGTCAGGTGGGCAGGCACAGACATGCATGCACACAAATACACGTAAACACACTCAGTTAATCTCGCATTTAACGGACAAAGCTTTTAAAGCTGTACCTAACCACAACTAACAGGGAAATAACGCAGAACTATTCATATTTTATGCAAACTATTTGCGTCATAGACTAGCAGGTCTTTGAACATTTACTGTATTTAAGTTTAGGTTTATTTATTTGTATATCCAAGTCTTTGCTTGAGTTCAGCAGGCATCTTAAATAGCAAAAATAACTTCTACTTACATTAGTGTCTGTCTTGTGTTTGGCCCCTCACCTTCATGTGAAACTCTCCTGCATGTTCCTGCACACGCAGTGCTTTTAGGTCTGTTCATGAAATCTAATAAATACAGTAGTTTTATCCAAAATACCACAATATGTTTGAGCTTCTTATTGACCAGAC